CGTCAATAATGAAGCCAAGATACTTTATCGACCGCATGAAAAAGGTGTATTTCTCTCGGCGCACTTTGTAGCCATATTCCTGAATACGACTTAGCACGTAATCAAGGCGCTGCCACAGTTCGTGGGGGTTGGAACCCATGACAATGAGGTCGTCCAAATAGGCGGCAACGCCGTGGGGATCCTCCAGCATCGTATCCATAATCTGTTGAAATACGGCTGGCGCTATTTTGACACCAAATGGCAGTCGGGTGTACTTGAATAGACCTCGATGCGTGTTGATCGTGAGAAGTTGTCGGGACTCTTCCTCAACTTCAACCTGGAGGTACGCATCGGCCAAGTCAATCTTCGCGAAACATTTACCCCCATTCAGTTTCGCGAACAAATCATCTGGAAGAGGCAGAGGGTATTGATGAGTATCTAGCGCCGAGTTGAGACCGGTGGAGAAATCTGCGCACAACAGGATCGTCCTGTTAGCCTTCTTCACCAACACGATAGGTGCGACCCAAGCAGAGCAGTTCGTCGGTTGGAGAACACCCGCCATCTAAAGTCGGTCCAGTTCTTGGTCAACGATAGGCAAGGCTGCATACGACACTGGACGTTTTGGCCTGAAGACTGGCTTGGCACCAGGGAGGAGGCACAGCCTGGCTGTTGCCTTTGTACACCGTCTAAGCTCGTCAGTGATTACAGATGAATAACGTTGTAGGAGGTGTTCAAGTGAACGCTTTGGCAGATGAGTTTGTCCGGGTGCTGCGTGTATGCAGTTGCAAATAGAATTGATTGGTTTATCCAGCAGATTTAGCTTTTTGGTCCAATCTAGCATCATGAGATCAGGTTTGGGGCATGACGTCAGGTAGCAGGTGGCTTGTGCCGTCGAGTCCTTGAAGTTAATGAGGCAGTCCACTTCGCCAGTCAACTTCAGTTTGCAACCGGAAGCATTACGGGCCAATTGTTCAGTCGGCTTCACATGTGGCTTACCGATTCGTTTCCACGTTCGTTCACTGAGCAGCGTGATATCGGAGCCAGTGCAACCGAACTGGGATGTCGTTGATACGAACCGTCACGAACTTCCTTCGGCAAGCAAAATCAACTTTGAATGTTGCCGCCACCGAGTTGGACCGCGATTTATGGGCTTCACGGTGGTGTGCGGATGGCTGCAGTCTTTGAGATCGATACAAATCTTCTTTGTGGCCGCGACGAATGCACTTGGAATATTTGTGACGCCTGAACTGGCAATAACGAGCAAAATGCCACTCACCACAATGCCAGCAACTTGTGGGAGGCTTACTTTGTCTTCGATCGGACGTCTTGTTGGATTTCCTGGGCAAGATGGAGTTGATTGCCTGTACGCAGCAGCTTGAGGTCACAGGTGACTGATCGATCAAAGCCGTGTCGTGCTTTAGGTTGATGAGGCGTTGGCATTCAGTGGTGAGGCTCTGCGACGTCATTTCGGCATCCTGTTCAATTCTGTTAAGCAGCCTGGTTCTGATGTCAGCATCCTGGGATGAGTGGAGACCGGATACAAAAATGAGGCACTTAAACTGATTCTCCGTCATTGAGCTGAGCTTGCAGCGCTCACATTCTCGACTGACAACACCGGCAAACGTGATGAAATCAGCATCACCTTTCTTGACCGACTTTAGGCGTTGGTAGTAGATAACGAACTGTGATGTTTGATCGCCGAATATCTGGGACAGTGTTCTGACCGTTTCATCAAAGCTGAGGTCGCGGGGCAGCTTGGGGAGAATGAAATTTATGAACCTTTCATGCTCCGGTGTGCCGAGTTTTCGCAGCAATAGTCTGACTTTCCATCCATCGTCAAATTTGGAAAAATCAGTTTTGAACATGTCTTCGTACCGCTTGAACCAGGAGTCAAAAGTGTGACCAGAAAGAGCGTCAAATGTGAATTCAAACTACTTTAGTTGCTGCTGCAATAGTTCTCGGAGCTGATCAAATCTGACTGACATCGTGGGTTCCCGTTTGCCAATTGTAGTAACGGTATTTTCCTCAGCTTAGCTCTCGGTCTGAGCCTCCCAAGCCAGCGTTCACGTCAAAACAACCACCAAAGGTGCACAAGGTCTATTAATGCCCAAAAACGAAGTCAAGAACAGTTGTACAGCGCTCCGTTTGTATAGGGAAAGCGGCTTTAATTTTCTGGAATTTATGACGCGTTCTGGATGCGCCATTGGCAACCGGCATTTGGCCAATACTGGGTCATGATTGGCTGATGGGTCCAGATTGTTGACCAATCAGATCTCGTCTTGATGCCGGACCGGCAAGCGTCCCGAATTCTGTGCCAACCTCGAGCGGGCCAGGCTTATCGGCCGTAGCAGCTCCTAAAGACGTGCGATATAGCGGGATTCGTGCGGATCCCTGCCTAACAGTCAGCCAGTATGTTAGACGATGCAGGAGGCCCAGGTCGAACCCAAAGCGCACTAGCCATAATGCAACTCAAGTGCTAGTAAGCGGAGAGGATATTATAGTGTGCATGACATTGGATATAGAGGTTTGTTAAATGAGCGCTGCACATTCTCCGCAGCAGTCCGTCATACCTGTGAGTCAGCAAAACAAGCTACTTTTTGATTTCAATAAAAATGCTTTGCTGCGGGAGTTTCGGCGAATAAAAGTGCAAGACTTACAAGTTTCAGCTCCTCGGTACCACGCTTGTTGGGAAAAATTGAAAGTGCAGTAGTACCCAAAATCCGGGTCTCTAACTTCAGCAAGAGACGGGGTCGAAACTCCATAAAGAATAAGCTTCTCAGGAGGAACCTGGAAGCAATGCGAGAGAACTTGACATTTTGGAACGTTGAAGAGTTCAGAGTTAAATGACCAGAGGGATAGGAAATCCACATCAGCCTGAATGTTAACTAGAGTAGAAACGGAGTCACTGACCCCGAATATGTAGGCTATATAATAAAAATAAAAATGCTTGTTTCCAGCTGATTTTTGGCAGCCCCTCGGGCATGACCATACTTTTACAGTCAGAATGAATGTATGGCAGGTACAGTTTGTGGGTTGAGTATTGCGCGGAAAAGGAACGGTGTCATAAACAGTGGGTATTATCTGATGAAGACTTTAGAATTTGAAGGTGGAGGACAAAACCAGAACAGGGGAGGACAAGAAGGGTGACATTCTGCTTAACACCTGATAAAAAACTGCAAATCGTGGAAAATGAGGAACCAGAGCAACGGATCTGGTGAAGCAGGAGAGTTTGCGTAATCCGGATGAGCAAAGTAAAATAAAACCTTAAACCGCCGCCTTGGACTGGCAGCCCTGGGCTGTTGAGTTTATGGACAGGGTCGCGAAAAGCGTGAGGATGATGAAGGGGAGGTATTAGAAATACATACAAATGGTGGCGGAAGCCACAGAAGCATGATCTGAAACTCTGCTGACTCACTGGTGTCACTATTGTAGTGGAAGTCGGGTGTAAAAGTTCCTTTAAACGAGTGAGTTGGTGGCAATGGACAGGCCGGAACGCGAGCTCTACAGAAAATTTTGTGGGAGCACAGACCGAAAATCCATCGAAGTGTCTAAATCGCAGAATAGAATAGCGGAGCCATGATTGATTCGCTCAGTGATATTATTCACGTACAGCAAGAACAGCAAGTGCTGAGCAAGCCACCCTGGATGTCATTACTGGTGATGAGAAGTCATGATGTGAGTAGATCCCGGATTTCAGTGATCCAGATTCTGCCAGTGAGATCAGAAATGCAAAAACGGAGAGGCAGATCATTAATCACTGTATGCCGTAAATTGTTGAGTATGTCGTGGGGCAGCCGGTTGAAATTCGTTGTGAATATCAAAGTAGATAATAATAATAAACATACCGGCAGCGTAAACAAACGGAACGTGGCTAGAGAAGTTTACCTAGCACACGCTAACGGGCCATAAACCCATTCTTTCTAGTGCTAAGGGCCATTGTGATGGGCAGGCAATCTGAAACAGGACTCCGATAAAGCGATCCAAAGTACGGGATAGCATGCCACGACAGCTATTTGGAGCTAGCTTGACCTGACCTGTTGTGTGGAAACATTGTGGAATGCCTCCATGATTGTGAGCTATGCCAGCGATGAGGAAGCTATTGAAGACGTTGAGGCTGAGGGTAGAGACATCCGGACTACCAATTTTTAGGATGGGCGAAGTGATATCGCCAGTACCTTGGAAAGTGGTTGAGCATGGAAGTCAAGTTTGGTAAAGCAACATTATTTAGAGGTGGGGTTTGTTTCCCCAACCTGCTGAGAGCAGTGAGTAGAGATGATCGACGCAGAAGGTACGCAGCAGCTAACGAAGAGGGAGTTTGTGGATTCTATGATATCCTCAGGGTTGGAAAGTGGCCTCCAGTCAGTGGTCTCAATATTAAGAATTTCAGAGGAAATAGGGGAGCAACGCTTGCAAAAGCGCGACAGCATCTTAGATTCATCCTGAATCTTGGGCTACGAAGTTAGACTACTCGCGCTTTTTAATAGCTGTTCTGCCAAAGGTAATCTCAGTCGTAAGTCTGTTAATTAAAATAGGAAAGAAGGTGCAGTAGGGTTTTGCGGAAGGTTTTACGATCCTTTCAGCGTTCGACTTACCGAAAAGGAAACCAAAAACACGGGAAGCTCGTGTGGGACCAACTAGATATAATGATATGGCGTGAAAAATTTTGGCCGTGCTGTGGATGTCACGACAGAGGAAGTACTTTTCGCAGATTTTGTGGCCCAACGAGATTACAAACGCTCCAATGATACCGAAGGAAAAATGAAGAAACCTAAGTGTGGGGCAGAAGAAAGGTGAGTATTGGTCCAGCTGCAAGTAACATTTTGATTTTCGCTATCAGCGAAATTCTGGATGACTGCAGCTGTGCGGCACAGATAGGTAAAGGATACCGGATGTTTTTTCTATCAAAATGACAGAAATATTGTACAGTAGGGGTATAAGGGGGCGGGAGGATCTGTCTTGTAGATCACTCAACACCGAATGGTGAGGGTGCGTAAGGTACCAACAGCCAAACTGGGCTGAAGGTAGAAGAGAGAATTTGACATCAGGAGATACAAGATAAAGCGGGAGACGGGGTGCAACGAGGAACCCAATGGCGTAATCAATCTCTGGGAAGAAGAGTGGACTCCGTTGTGTGTGAACCGGGATCCACTGCGTTTGCCGTAAAAGAAGGGCCTTGAAATTTGAAGGGGAGATGTAGTTCAAGGCCGTAAAGATGCACCTGCACATACCCTCAGAAGAGGGATATCCACGTTGGAGTAAAATAATCGTCAAAAACCGTTCTCACCTAAATAAAATGCGAGTGGCTGGGAAGGCCGAGCTTGATTGGGGCTAGCATCAGGTGATAATAGTTGTTGGTTATAGATCCTGTCAAGGGCCCGAGGTGCATAATTTGAGGAGCGAAGGTGTGTTCACTTAGAAGTTAGCGTATGGTTTGGTTCCTAGCCGAAGGGCGAGGTGCACAAAATCGTGAAGTTAATGTGAGAGAGGTTATTACAATTCGAGGCTTGGGCAGCAAACGTTCGAGCCAGAGGAAGCGCTTCGGCTGAGAGTCAGTGTCAATAGGTCAGGTGGTCTCGGGCAAAACCTGAGTTTTTATCCTAAACCGTGGCCTCCTCTTGCGGCTAATAAGATACCGCATCATTGAAAGACACACATCGCTTTCGAGAACTCAGCAACGTGCCCGGTCCTATCAGGTTCCTTTGTGATTCGTCGTAGGAGAATGCTGTCATAAGGCAGCACTTCATGATGTAGACACTTGCATCCCTCCGTGAAGATATTTCGTCTAGCCTTCTTAGGACGACAGGGGACTTTCCGTAGCCGGCTGATGTGTTTATCCGTCGTCTAGCATGAACAGTGTCATCATGGTGGTGCACAAATGGTTGGATTCGTGGCACATCAAACTGTGAACTGTCGACCGAAGCTGTCTGCTTCGTTGTCTGTTGTCCGTGTGGCGTCTGATTTGGTAGGCATATCGTACACAAATATCGAAACTGACACTGGACCTCATATCTGTCACCGGGTGTAGTGTCAGCAGTCAAGAATTCAGTGGTACTAAGCGTTCATAGCGATGTAGTGACGACACATTTCGGCTCTGGAATGAGCGAATAGAAAATTGGTGTCACTACGATCTCACAGTACATAAAGCACACGTTCGCACGAAGTGGGTAATGCAGCAGAGAAGACTAATAGCGGGCGACACCGTGAGTGCACTGAAACTGGGGCGACAAGCCCAAGGAAAGAACGGAACAAAATAGCTGAAGGTCACTCAAGGGATGCACAAGCGGACTATGTTTTCTGCCTTAGGCTCGTGGTGACTCTTCAGGAATGCTAATTTAATGTGGAAGGTTAGGCAAATATTAGGTTGTGATAAACATGTGCTGACATTTAGTCTGGTGACAATTAATCTACACGATGAAAATTGAATCAAGCGCCCAAAGAGACGTTTATGAAGTTTAAGCAACCATCAAACAAACGTGTGACTGTCAAGGAAAGGTCACATTTTTGTGCAAAATTTTCATCCTCCCGAAAAAGTCCTCTAGGGATGTTTTTAGTGTGTTTATAAGGGACAGTGACCATTTCCGTGTGCTGTAAGAGAACTGCTCATCGCTGATTCACATTCGTTGCCCGAGATCTCAGTTTGCCTTTAGAGCTGTTTTTTCGGCCTCTGAAAATCAGAGGGAATCCCCTTATTTTAGGCGGCCGCAGCCATTTTGAGCCATTCAAATGTGAATTCCGCGCAACAAATAGTAATGCTACTCAGTATTCGCTCAATGGGGTTAATTTCTCGAATCTACAACATTCCCAATGTTGTCATTTGATAGTCTGTATGATGAAATGTTCTGCCATTATCAACATGGGTGATTTGTTTGGGTGATCGAACCTTCAAGGCCGTCAAATATCGCTGACTGTGGGCACGATGTCCAGCGTAACAAGATATTCCGAAAGTGGAAAAGTGGATTACTTGCAGTGGACGGAACTTGCAGATAGTTCTTCAGCTTAGTCCATTAAACTTTCCCAGAAAATACACAGCCATTGTGGATGCAAAGTATGCGAATTTACCAAACCCGTATATGTATCTGCCTTACTGCTCGAATATCGAAGAAT